CCCTCCTCCTCCTCCTCCCCCTCTCCTCCTCTCCTCTTCTCCTCCTTTCCTCCTCCTCTCCTCTCCTTCTTCTTCTCCTCCTTCTTTTTCTCCTTTTTCTTCTTCTTCTCCTTCTTCTTCTTTGCTAGAGGGCACATGCTTGTTGGAAAAAGAGAGAAGGGAGGGGGATGTGAGAAAGCACCCCCACCATATGGGATAGTCACCCCAAAAACACTTCTCCGTTTCTCCCTCCTTTGGGGTTCTGGGCACAAACGCATCATTACCCAAGAGTCAAGCCGCTGGTCATGGACTCAAACTGTGCAGTAGGCCATATGGGGTCCAGCCGCCTTAACCACTGCGCCTGCTGACCCCATCATGTTGCCTTTTTCTTTCTTAGTCACACACACACAATGATCATTTGCAGTTCTGTTAATTTCCTCTAATGGAACAGCTGAGTCAGTACCAGACCACAGTGGATCGCTAGATCAGGTGAGGGTCAGATCAGGGTTAGGGCCCCAGCCAGCTCCGGGGAGTTTGGCCAGATTCCTATCTCCCTGATTTAATGATGGGAGCTTTACACCTGCGCTGGCCCAGGCTGTAACTCCAACCAGGCGCATGTGGTCACCCGCACCTGCTATGTGATCATGTTTTGGGCACACCAAGTTAAGTGGCTTACGACAGTCTTGCGTGTGTCTCCGGAATACAACCTTTAGGATGTGGGGTTTAGAAAACGTGGCTGTCACGTTTATGGGGATTTATATGCGTGGTTGTCACACGTTTATGACCAGCGCTGCCCCAGGCCCTCTGCAGATTGCCTTCCTCGAATCTTCCCAGGTGGCTGCTGGCCCCTCGGAGACCAGGACCGCAGGGGTCAAGGCTGTACCCAGTGCACGAGTGACCTGAGAGCCGGGAGCCCTGCACCACCGGCTGGAGCAAGTCGGCAAGAGTGGTCCCGGCCGGACCTGACACAGGCTTTAGGAGCAGCGGGGCTCCTTCTGAGGTGCAGGGCCTGGAGAGAGGGAGGAGGTGAGCCCGGGTCGCCCGGGGCCCGCCCGCTGGGGGCCCAGCTTGTTGTTCCAAGGCCGCGGTTTCCAGGCAACCGCCAAACGGGAACTCCGACTCGCAGCCTGCGGACTCGCGCTG